TTAGGTTCTGCTGTGATGTTTGTTGTTAAGGTCTTTCACGTCTTCGTTCTTCAATGAAAGGTCTTGTAGTGTTCTCTCCGAGGCAGTGATCTCAGTGTCACTCAGTCCACTGGCGTAGCATCCGGCTTCCTCTTTCTCTTGCGCCTGGTACTTGGGAGATCCTAATACATAAGTTATTATTGGTGGCAGTCTGCTGTCGCTCGAAGCCTCATTCGAACCAATGTTCTGTGTATCATTAATACTTTTCGGAGCCGTTGGATATTTTCCAACTGAACCATTGGAGACCTTTGGAGATTCACCCGATTTTTCCTGAGGAATTGTACCCGGATCCTGACACATCTGGGTGACGCTCACTCCTCCTGGACCAGTGATGGTTTGGGCGATGGACTTCAAGGTGACGGGTGAACTTGTTTTGAGGAATCTACTAATACCTTTGACATTTTCCGGACTCGCTACCTCCAGGTCCTCAGCGCTGTAGGACGACGAATGACGCATCACTTCCACCACACTAAACAAGAAGAAAGAGAATATTACAAACAGTATCAGTAGGGGAGATGTAAGATACATCAGTAAACATCAACACACGAGCGCAATTAAGAATGTATAGCAATTGAATAACAATTGTGTATATCTACCTCACTGAATCTCAGGCTGCTGAAGACAGCGTTACAGTAGAGTAGAGCTGTATTAGACTAATTTTATAGAAAAATGGTATGGAAGACACATTTGTCCAGTTCTTGAACTGGACATAAGTGTATTTCCATTGTCTCTCTGTCTCTCCTTCAAACTTGAAGCATCAATATTATGACGTTATGGTTTCGAAAACTGATTAGTTGAAGAATAAGACACAAGTGTCTCATCATTCATCAGTACTGTGTTTACCAGCCATTATTCCGTTTATTCATTACGATTGTAACTTGAGTTTACTTCCAAAATTTATTTCCAAATTAAATTTCTCATAAGGTGTGGTAAAGTTGGACTCACATGAAGGTGATCATAATAATGACGTTGAGACAGGCGCCGAAGAAGAACTGGGCAGCTGGGAAGGTGTCAACAGTGTTGTAGTAGAGAGGAGAGTAAGCTGCGTAGCCAACCATGGGCATCAACCCGTTAAGTGCCGACATCACTGCATTGATGCGACCTGTTGGTAAAAATATCGAAATCTCTTAACAATCCACTCTTTTTTTTAAAAAATAAAAATTATTAGATTTATATTTAAATACCTCCCCCATCCCCACCACTAGAAATTTCTAAAAAATCTTATCTACCAACTGCTTCAAAAATAATTTAAAAAATTTACTGAATACATCAGGGAAACACTGAGAAAACTAAATCAATAAAACTGCAATATGATGGTAAATTAAACACTTGTGCAATGTTGCACAAGTGTTTAATTTGTCAATTTGTTGTTTTATTAAACCATTTAATAAAAAACTGCATGATATTGATAAAGCAAGTGAAGGCTTTGTTTTACCTTTTAATGTCACCTTTTGGGGCATTTAAAACGAAATGGCCTATTCGTCTCACCTTTCTCCTTACTAGTGACGAGTTTGGTGGACATAGACTTGAAGGAGATGACCATAGCGTTGGAGATGAGGCTTACGAGAGGTCCCAGCCACATGAGGAATGCTTGTGCTGGTCCACTAACCAGACCATAACACACGTACTCCCCGATCATTGAGACGGTCCCAACCACTATCAGTGAGGCGTCCGTGAACGATAACAGCCGCGTCAGGAACGGCACCAGGAAGAGAGAACCTGAAAATCACCATAACGTTAGTTTAGCCTTTAAATCACACCTTTCGATAATTACTAATGCAAACGTAACTACTCTCTTAGTTAATTGGTGATACAATGTAAGCCACTGCCCTCGTTAACTAGTGCTACAATGTAAACTACTTCTTTCGTTAAATACTACCACCCCTTAAACTAACCCCATTAACAAAATCTCAAGCCACAAATTGATTCGTGCATTAATTAACCGATGTTAATTAATGCACGGATTAATCATCATATGACTAAGACCCGCGTCAGGAAACACTTGTTCTGTGTCCTGACAAACCTTACTTAACCTAACCTAACCTAACCTCACCACGGAGCTCTCCTGCTATTAAGAGATAAGATAAGATTTTGTTCGGATTTTTAACCCCGGAGGGTTAGCCACCCAGGATAACCCAAGAAAGTCAGTGCGTCATCGAGGACTGTCTAACTTATTTCCATTGGGGTATTTAATCTTGTCCCCCAGGATGCGACCCACACCAGTCGACTAACACCCAGGTACCTATTTGCTGCTAGGTGAACAGGACAATAGGTGTAAGGAAACGTGTCGGAATTTCCACCCGCCGGGAATCGAACCCGGGCCCTCCGTGTGTGAAGCTGTCAAACTTGCTTTGCACATATATCTTTTATTATAAAGCGCAATGCTTTAACGTAAAGCTTTGTGAGTAACTAAAGCATTACGAACACTTGTCAGTTCTCAATAATAACCCAGATGGAGACAGAAACAAAGTATGTTAATTGATCTGTATTTTCCGACCCCCTTTCTGGGATTCACTTCAGCAGATATTTGCTGAAGAGGATCCCAGAAGGGGATCGAAATATTTGGATCAATTAACCTCCCGTATTTCTGACTTCATGTGGTTTATTATAGAGGTTAGAACTATATATACCAAGCATTAAAAACACAATATTATGGATACACATAAATATCAACACCCTTATGCAAATTGTTTCTCTAAGTTCCTTTGAAGATTAAAACTCTCCGAAATTCCAATATTTAAGATTAATATTACATATTATGGTATATAGCACATCACAACCTGCACTGGCCGGGAATCGAACCCCCTTGATACTTTAACTCACCACCCGAGTAGCACGTCAAAATTCCGAGACGCCCTCGACCACTGGAGAGTTAAAGTATCAGGGGTTCGATTTCTGGTCAGTGCAGTTTGTTATTTGCTAAAAACACTTGTTCGTGGATGCATTATTATTATGGTACATGTAAAACGTATTGACGTACGAAATACGTGATAACGTACCAAGGGCAGCCAGTAGGTTACGATAGGTAATCCAGTAACCGTAGTCAGTAGCATCCCAGTGTAGGGCACGACGCACGAACATGTACATGAAGAACCCTGTACAAAACACATTTGTTATTATTATTATTATTATTATTATTATTATTATTATTATTATTATTATTATTATTATTATTATTATTATTATTATTATTATAGTCATTGTGAAGCGCTAATCCCGTATGGGGCAATGCAGTGCCAGGGGTAAATGGTAGATAATCTGGCTTGATTCGAGGAAGGTGAAAGTAACCCCAGTTCCTTGAATTAAGAGCATCGAGACACTCATCCCACACAAATCTTGGTAGTGCGAGATCCAGATATACGGTTGTTCAGTAGTCACGAGAACACACGAATTTGAACGAAGTTCATTGTCATTCGTTTACTCTATATGAACTAATCGTGACGTAGCTCTAATTTAAAAGAAAAAACTTTCGTTTTGCTTAATAAGACACATGTGCAACATATCTTGTAGCTAAAATATAGGTATGGTTAGTCTAGTTGACGAGAGACGGAAATATTTGTAAACATTATGGTGGCCCTAATAAGCTGAGACTAAGGACACTTGTGTAACATCTGGGTATCTTCCTTTGTAGACGTTTCGCCATCCAGTGGCTTTATCAATACAAATTCAAGGATTTAAAGGGAAGACTGCAGACTTATATACGATAGATGAGGTAATCAGTCCCTCAACCTTGGAGTTCGTGAAGACCATCGTAGTCTTGAAGACTACGGTACTCCAAGGCTGAAGGACTAATTACCTCGTCTTTTGTATATAGTTCTGCACTTTATCCGTTATGTCGTTAAATTTGTATTGATAAAGATACTGGATGGCGAAACGTCTACAAATAAAATGTTGCACGTGTGTCTAATTCTACATCTTGTCGGTATTGTCTACTATATATGTACAAGGACACTTATGTACAGGTGGGAGTATTTATTGCGAAACGTTTCTTTTAATAAATGCCCTGAATTTCGTATAACTGTCGCTATCCACAGATAGGGAAGTGCACTAAGAACAGGTAAATTACCTCTAGCTACGCGTCGTATCATGTTACCAGCCATTACGGCCATTAAGACGGCCCTGGCGTTGCCCTCGCGTCTCCTGAACGCTGTCTTGAAGGATTCCACAACGCGCCTCCAGTTGAAGAAATCCACCACCATGGTAACAACAGAGATCTTCTTCATCGAACTGGGATCTTCTTTACCGGAGCCTTGAGCTTCCAGCTTACTCTTGACGAAGGGTCCGTGACTCTCCTCGATAAAGATGACCACATAAATAGCTGTGAGGAAATAAGCAAGCAACACCAAGCCTAAAGCCATGTTATAATCACTGTACTTAATGATGAGGGCACCAACTAGCGTACCCAGGGGACCCCCCAAGTACCACATGGAGTTGGCTGTGCTGATGCGAGATGTTCGCTGAGCTTCCTTGCTGATGTCGCTGATGTAACTGACTGTAGATGTGAGAAGACCGGCGTTTGCACCTCCCAGGGACTCCAGCAGTGTCACTAGATAAATCACTTCCACGGGCCAGCTAGTCTGCCAGTTAGACAGCAGGTAACCTCCGGCATAAACCACGTGACCCACCAGAGTCATCAGTAAAGGAATCTGTCAGTGGAACGATGATATTATATAAATAAATGCAATTATAATCATTGAAATATTATTATTATTATTATCAACACACACGAAGAACCCGCACTTAGGAGAGAGAAGTTTACGGTGCGGCTTTGTAAATGATCCAAGCCGGTGTGATGAATGGTTTTGAAAACCGACAAGTTGAAGAATTGAGACACTTATGCAACATATGGGAATCTTTATTGAAGAAACGTTTCGCCACACAGTGGCTTCATCAGTCCAATACAAAGTAGAAGTGGGTAAGGAGAGTAGAAGTTTGAGGTAATCAGTCTCTCAACCTGGAATCGATGTGTTCAGAGAGTGATGGACTGAACACATCGATTCCAGGTTGAGGGACTGATTACCTCAAACTTCTACTCTCCTTACCCACTTCTACTTTGTATTGGACTGATGAAGCCACTGTGTGGCGAAACGTTTCTTCAATAAAGATTCCCATATGTTGCATAAGTGTCTCAATTCTTCATCCAAGCCGGACCTAAACGTCGTGGTGAGATTCTCTCTCCTATGTACGGGTTATTTACGTATTGTTCCAGTCACGGTATTGCAACTTTTTGTTCTTATTTCTTATAATTTTTTTCTCTGAATGAAGGCTGCATAAGATAGTGAACCATGCGAACTATTTTAGTTTTGGATAGTCAAGTGCTGGATAGTCAACTGTTGAGGTGGTCAGTCCCTGACCACCTGAACGCAAAAAACTTCGGAATAAAGTCCCAAAAGGGTTAACATGAGAATATCTGGCTATTTACAATTGATATATTCTTATTTACAGCAAATTAAAAAAAAATTGAGGATTGCGTCTATGTCCTTTTACCTAAGAAATTTAAAATGTTAGAAGAACGTGAAAGACGTACTAGAAAAGATTGAGCATCTAGCAGGAATATGTGATCATGTCAGATGTGAGGGCGTCAACGTAAGGGATTCTTGGGATTTGACATGCCGTCGGAGTGTGTATGTGTGTGTGTGTGTGTGTGTGTGTGTGTGTGTGTGTGTGTTGTGTGTGTGTGTGTGTGTGTAACAATACCTACGGAAGGATTCCGTGAAACAAGTTTTCTGTTCTGGGAATTCCAAGGTCGAAAACTTCATGACTGTCCTTAGAAAATCGGGTGGGATGTTACAATTAATCTATGAGAAGATGTTGATGGCTGTACTGCCTTCAACTGGCCGCCAAAATTGGTGAAAAAGATCTGTATTTTTGAAAGATGCTGCAATTGATGGCTATTCTGTATTTAATTAGTCACCAACACTTGTGATATTGCCGTCAACAGACACAATTTTCCCAGTGTGTTACCGCTTTACATAAGCGGGTTAATGAGTGACTTCAAGTTTTTGCTCTAAAACAAGACATAGTGCACAAACCAGTCAAGAGAGAGTTCAAGGTAATGACTCATAACACCTCCAGATAGGTAAAACCTTCAAGGCTAAATGACTATCCCTTCAGTTCCGCTTCACAGCATCACCACTGACAGATGAGACAATAAGAAGAGAATAACTCGGAAAAGTGTGACAGAGGGGGCTCTTTGTTTACAAATTTTTCCTTTTCTAGAACTAGTAGTAAGTAAATAAATAAATAAACATAACACATACGTACATATATATAAAAAAAATTCCGATGATATTGTAATTCATTGTTAGGTAACGCACACTGGAGAAAATTATTTATTTATTATTGAAGATTCGCCGGTATTCTCCCGGCCCGGGCCTTTTCCAAGTGGTGGCCCGGCCTTGGCTCCCTCTTTAGGGAGTGTCTGAGACCTAAGTCTCCTATGGGAGGAGGCACAAGTACCTCCTCATCTTTGGGACCAACTGTCCCCAGGCCTAGCCACAAGCTAGGCCTCTCTGGTCTGCCATCCCCGCCCCAAGGGGGCAAATGGGAATGACAGTCTTATGAGCTAAAGGCTCGGGCTCAGGCACCTACCCTACCCTAGAAGGGCTGGGCATGGTGTCGATGTGGAGAAAATATCGTTTATGTTCGTTACTCAAACTTTGGGTGTGTAAGAGTGGCATAGTGAGGTGAGGGCCAGAGGGACACAGGAGAGCAAGAGTCGACAAGAGGACAAACAATATCTCTTGACACATTATACAGCCGGGTTCTAACAGTGCCCTTTAACATTAAGAGGAAAGTGTTGCATGTTAAATCTCACCAAATCTCAAGGATCACCAGATAACTCGAGCTTTAAGATATTATTCTTTATGTAAGTATTACTTAGAGATATTTGCGTACATAATTATGTAAATATTACTGTCACATTTACGTTTGTATTTCTGTCACAATAAAACACGTGATAGAAAAAACACCTAAGCACTTTCGTTAGTAAGAATTCATTTAAAATTAAGTACTTTCTAAAATTTTCTTTTATACGTTTCAATATATATTTTTTTCGAATATGTTAATGTAAAAATTAATAATCTTGTAACAAAAGAACCTTAGAAAACTTACCTGACCTTATTACAACAAGCACAATTTAATTTATCCTAATTCAACTAAATATATTTTAGATAAGTTTACAATAATTTAATAATAAACAAACACAATGAAATTTTTTTTCGTTAGGTTCAGAATGATTTTTGCGAAATTACTGCATACACAAATTTTCACTTGCCTTATTCGGCAAGAAGAGCATTACTGTCACATATAAGTGTAAATAATTAAAATGTTTAGCATTCTTGTGTTAACTGTTACTGAATGTGGAATAAGGGGTTTGTAATAAGGAAAGATGACACGAGTAACAAGGCTTCCAAACACTCACCTTACGTCCGTATTTATCGCTCCAGGCGCCCATGAAGAGCACGAAGATGAGAGGCAACACTGATAAGATGATACTGTTGTAGAAGGTGAAGATAGAGAACTCTCTCTGGACTCTCACACTCTCCTCTGGATGAGCTGACAGGTTAGCACACACCTGTGGTCAACAAATGCTCTTATTTCCTCTCCATAGACTAAATACGCACCTACTCTCATTTGTTTTCCTTACCGGAAATAATCTATGTTTACATGAATCTTCGCTTCCCACGAATGCCATTTATATTCACTTATATACATGGAATAATATCACAAGAAACGAGTGTTGTCATAACATGCAACAGATCCACAGAGGAAAATAAGTGAAATTCCAAGCGATTTCGTGACTGCTCATATTATCAAAGGCTTCTCTCTAACAACGTGAAAAATTACGAAAGCTCTTTTCATCGTGTTTACATTGCTCAATTATAACCATGTAATTAGAAAAGACTAAAAAAAATCATGTAATTAGGTAAGACTAAAACAAATCTATGTTTATCATTCTGTGAAGGGACGAACACTTACCTCGGGTGAGAAACCCAAGTTGACGGAACATATTTTGTTCATTTGGACGTTTTCACCAAAGAGGAGCATAGCCTCTTTGCATGCTCCATCTATGAGCATGACGGGTTCTACTGTGATGTCCCTTAGCGCTGCTACTAGAGATGTCGCCATCTTCTTGTCTTGGTTCTTTTGATTGACACGATGGTTACTGGTGAGCTTTGTTCAACACACGTTACTTGTGAGCTTTCAACACACGTTACTGGTGACTTTTCTTCAACACACGTTACTTGTGAGCTCTCTCCAACACAATGGTTACTGTAAATCTTCCTCCAGCAACACACTGGTTACTGTAAATCTTCCTCCAGCAACACACTGGTTACTGTAAATCTTCCTCCAGCAACACACTGGTTACTGTAAATCTTCCTCCAGCAACACACTGGTTATTGTAAATCTTCCTCCAGCAACACACTGGTTACTGTAAATCTTCCTTCAGTAACACACTGGTTACTATAAATCTTCCTCCAGCAACACACTGGTTACTGTAAATCTTCCTCCAGCAACACACTGGTTATTGCAAATCTTCCTCCAGCAACACACCAGTTACTGGTGAGTCTTGAGCAACAAACACTATTCTTGATAACTCTTCCTCTCCAATACACTAGTTACTGGTAACTAGACCCCTCCAACACACTATTTACGGTCAGTGTTTCTTCCCTAGACTCATCAGTTACCGGTAAGTCGACTGTCCTCCTTCAACACCGGCTAGTTACTGGTACATATTCCTCAACCAACACACACACAACGAATACTGGTTTATTTAACAACGACACTCGACAAACGAGTATTGACAGAAATGATAGGTTTATCATCCAGGTTTTCCGAGGCAGTTCTCTTGATGGTATCAAATCTTTCAAGGGGGTCGAAAATATCTCATTGGTTGATCACATGGACGGTTGCAAGAGACCTGCAGAGGGTTCAAGTCTTTCAAATTGTCGAAAATATAACAATGGTTGATCACATGGACGGTTGCAAGAGACCTGCAGAGGGTTCAAGTCTTTCAAAGGGCCGAAAATACTTTACTGGTTGGTCACATGGAGGGTTGCAAGAGACCTGCACAGGGAAAAGGTTAGGAGCTTCATGGGCGAGGAGGTGAGGTTTCATCGCAACTTTATACTAGCTGAGGCAACCTCAGACTGAAGGTAAGAGGGAATCGTCCCACTCAGGGAAGTCATCCAGGTGACGTGGACCGGCTGAAAGTGGTTCGGTTACGGGAAAATGAGGAGAGTAGGACGGGATGTGTTCGGGACGCAAGAATCTCGAGTACGTGACGAGTACTTAACATTACAACTCAAGTAACTGACAATGAGAGTGAGAGAGACCCTTATATAAATATGTCGTGCCGAATAAATAAAACTTGCGATTTTGGCTTAAATAGCAACTCTCTTCTTGCCGAATAGGGCGAGCGAAAAATTTGTGTATGCAATAATTTCGCAAAAGTCATTCTGAACCTAACGAACAAAACATATTTCATTGTTTGTTTATTTATTAAATTATTGTAAACTTATCTAAAATATATTTAGTTGGATTAGGCTAAATTAAAATGCGCTTGTTATAATAAGGTTAGGTAAGTTTTCTAAGGTTCTTTTGGTACAAAAATGCTAAATTTTACATTAACATAAATAAAAAAAAATATATCCTTAAACGTATAAAAGAAAATTTTAGAAGGTACTTAATTTTAAATGAGTTCTTGCTAATTGACCAGTTTTACCTATTCGGCACGATATTATAAAATTTTATATATATATATATATATATATATATATATATATATATAATATATATATATATATATATATATATATATTATATATAGTATATATATATATATATATATATATATATAATATATATATATATATATATATATATATAATATATATATATATATATATATATATATATATTTATATATATACTAATATGAAAGGGGGTAAGGCAGCCGGGATTGATGGGATAAAAGATAGAATGTTAAAAGCAGGTGGGGATATAGTTTTGGAGTGGTTGGTGCAATTATTTAATAAATGTATGGAAGAGGGTAAGGTACCTAGGGATTGGCAGAGAGCATGCATAGTTCCTTTGTATAAAGGCAAAGGGGATAAAAGAGAGTGCAAAAAATTATAGGGGGTTTAAGTCTGTTGAGTGTACCTGGTAAAGTGTATGGTAGAGTTATAATTGAAAGAATTAAGAGTAAGACGGAGAATAGGATAGCAGATGAACAAGGAGGCTTTAGGAAAGGTAGGGGGTGTGTGGACCAGGTGTTTACAGTGAAACATATAAGTGAACAGTATTTAGAAAAGGCTAAGCGGTCTTTGTGGCATTTATGGATTTGGAAAAGGCGTATGACAGGGTGGATAGGGGGGCAATGTGTCAGATGTTGCAAGTGTATGGTGTAGGAGGTAGGTTACTGAAAGCAGTGAAGAGTTTTTTACGAGGATAGTGAGGCTCAAGTTAGAGTATGTAGGAAAAGAGGGAAATTTTTTCCCAGTAAAAGTAGGCCTTAGACAAGGATGTGTGATGTCACCCTGGTTGTTTAATATTTATAGATGGGGTTGTAAGAGAAGTAAATGCGAGGGTCTGGCAAGAGGCGTGGAGTTAAAGGATAAAGAATCACACACAAAGTGGGAGTTGTCACAGCTGCTCTTTGCTGATGACACTGTGCTCTTGGGAGATTCTGAAGAGAAGCTGCAGAGATGGTGGATGAATTTGGTAGGGTGTGCAAAAGAAGAAAATTAAAGGTGAATACAGGAAAGAGTAAGGGTATGAGGATAACAAAAAGATTAGGTGATGAAAGATTGAATATCAGATTGGAGGGAGAGAGTATGGAGGAGGTGAACGTATTCAGATATTTGGGGTGGACGTGTCAGCGGATGGGTCTATGAAAGATGAGGTGAATCATAGAATTGATGAGGAAAAAGAGTGAGTGGTGCACTTAGGAGTCTGTGGAGACAAAGAACTTTGTCCTTGGAGGCAAAGAGGGGGAAAGTATGAAAGTATAGTTTTAACCAACGCTCTTATATGGGTGTGAAGCGTGGGTGATGAATGTTGCAGCGAGGAGAAGGCTGGAGGCAGTGGAGATGTCATGTCTGAGGGCAATGTGTGGTGTGAATATAATGCAGAGAATTCATAGTTTGGAAGTTAGGAGGAGGTGCGGGATTACCAAAACTGTTGTCCAGAGGGCTGAGGAAGGGTTGTTGAGGTGGTTCGGACATGTAGAGAGAATGGAGCGAAACAGAATGACTTCAAGAGTGTATCAGTCTGTAGTGGAAGGAAGGCGGGGTAGGGTCGGCCTAGGAAGGGTTGGAGGGAGGGGGTAAAGGAGGTTTTGTGTGCGAGGGGCTTGGACTTCCAGCAGGCACGCGTGAGCGTGTTTGATAGGAGTGAATGGAGACAAATGGTTTTTAATACTTGACGTGCTGTTGGAGTGTGAGCAAAGTAACATTTATGAAGGGGTTCAGGGAAACCGGCAGTCCGGACTTGAGTCCTGGAGATGGGAAGTACAGTGCCTGCACTCTGAAGGAGGGGTGTTAATGTTGCAGTTTAAAAACTGTAGTGTAAAGCACCCTTCTGGCAAGACAGTGATGGAGTGAGTGATGGTGAAAGTTTTTCTTTTTCGGGCCACCCTGCCTTGGTGGGAATCGGCCAGTGTGATAATAAAATAAAAATAAATATATATATATATATATATATATATATAATTATATATATATATATATATATATATATATATATATATATATATATATATATATATATATATTTTTTCAACAAGTCGGTGTTGTGTGTGTGTGTGTGTGTGTGTGTGTGTGTGTGTGTGTGTGTGTGTGTGTGTGTGTGTGTGTGTGTGTGTGTGTGTGTGTGTGTGTGTCTTTCAGTTCATAATTAAATAAAACGTATTAGAATATTTTTCACAGCTAAATTCCTGGGACGACATTCCTCTTTTTCACTTAGATTATAAGATCAGATACTTGGTTAATGTGGGTTTAGAGGCTGTCCACTCCACCAGGGTCATTAAGGCTGTACATATCCTGTTCACCACCAGACAAAAATACTTTAATACCTAATATGGAGGTTAAGTGAACTCTCAGTCAGTGTATATACACAGAGAGACATACAACTCTCAGTGTATATACACAGAGAGACATACAGCTCTCGGTGCATATCCTATAAAATAGACCTGTGATAAACTGTGCATTATGCCTATGACTAACTATGTATTAGGCTTATGAAAAACTATATATTAGGCCTTTAAAAAACTATGTATTAGGTCTTTGTAAAACTATGTATTAGGCCTATGAACAACTATGTATTAGGCCTGTGAAAAACTATGTATTAGGTCTATGTAAAACTATGTATTAGGCCTATGAACAACTATGTATTAGGCCCATGAACAACTATGTATTGGGCCTGTGAAAAACTATGTATTAAGCCTATGAAAACTAACTAGTAGGAGTACTAGCTAATTTTTTCTATTTTCCATCATTATTTTAGAATAATTTATAATAATTAAAATGTTATTAATGTATAATTCATAAATATTTTTTAGTCAAAAAAATGAAAAAATTCGGCTACAATTTATACAACAGACGTATTTTTTTCACTACACTTGTAACTAGAGTAATGTATCCTCCAGGATGTAGAAATGTTACACAACTTCATCCCACCAGTTGAAGGTGGCACAACCCCCTACTAGGTGAGGGGTGACTCTTCTGTCAGCTAGAGAAGGTGGTACAACCCCCTACTAGGTGAGGGTGACTCTTCTGTCAGCTAGAGAAGGTGGTACAACCCCCTACTAGGTGAGGGGTGACGTTTCTGTCAGCTAGAGAAGGTGGCACAACCCCCTACTAGGTGAGGGTGACTCTTCTGTCAGCTAGAGAAGGTGGTACAACCCCCTACTAGGTGAAGGTGACTCTTCTGTCAGCTAGAGAAGGTGGTACAACCCCCTACTAGGTGAGGGTGACGTTTCTGTCAGCTAGAGAAGGTGGTACAACCCCCTACTACGTGAGGGTGACGTTCTGTCAGCTAGAGAAGGTGGCACAACCCCCTACTAGGTGAGGGTGACTCTTCTGTCAGCTAGAGAAGGTGGCACAACCCCCTACTAGGTGAGGGGTGACGTTTCTGTCAGCTAGAGAAGGTGGTACAACTCCCTATTATAGGTATGATGTTTAGCGTTTTGTATTAGGCTAGAGAAGTTTGGTACAACCCTAACTATGTTGAGGGTGACTTTTCTGTAAACTAGAGTGGCCATAACACCCTACTAGTAGGGTTACTTTTTTCTGTCATTATTAGAATAAGTTGGACAAACCCCTTAACAGTAGAGGGTGATTTCTGTCATTTTAGAAAAATGGACAAAACTCCCTATTATTAGGCTATAACAACTATTTATTAGCCTGTAAAAATATGTATTAGGCTATGTAAAAGTTACAAATTATTCCAGCCTAAGGTGCACAACCTATGGTTAGGGACTTCATGTCACTAATGATATGGTGGTAAACCTCTATTAGGCCTATGGAGAACTATTCTGTCAGTAGAGAAGTAGGTAAATTTACGGTATATTTCCTTCTATTAGAAGTAACCTCTATAGTGAAGTGTACAATTGTTATAGATGAAGTGGTAATCCCTATAGGTAGGTGATTTTCTGTCACTAGAGAAGGTGTACAACCCTACTAGTGAGGTTATTTCGGTCACTAGAGAATATGGACAACCCCACTAGGTAGGTGCGTTTTTGTCAACATGATAGAGTAGTAAACCCTACTCAGGTGAGGGGATTGCACAACTTCATCACCAGAGAAGGTGGCACAACCCCCTACTAGGTGAGGGTGACTCTTCTGTCAGCTAGAGAAGGTGGTACAACCCCCTACTAGGTGAGGGTGACGTTTCTGTCAGCTAGAGAAGGTGGTACAACCCCCTACTAGGTGAGGGGTGACGTTTCTGTCAGCTAGAGAAGGTGGCACAACCCCCTACTAGGTGAGGGTGACGTTTCTGTCAGCTAGAGAAGGCCATACAGCCCCATACTAGGTGAGGGTGACTCTTCTGTCAGCTAGAGAAGGTGGCACAACCCCCTACTAGGTTAGGGTGACGTTTCTGTCAGCTAGAGAAGGCGA